TCTTGAACAATTCTTTCACTAACATTATCAAGTGCACTTGTTGCTTCATCTAACAAAAGAATGGTGGGTTGTTTGACAAGTGCACGAGCTAATGCAATACGTTGTTTTTCTCCACCACTCAATTGTATACCACGTTCACCAACAAGTGTTTCATATTTCTACAAACAAAAAGATTAATATATACATATAAATAATTAAGAACAAACATTTGGTAGTTTCATAATGAAGTTATGTGCATTAGCTTGTTCTGCTGCTTGTTCAATCTCTGCATGTGTTGCATTCATTTTACCAAAACGAATATTTTCATAAATACTTATTCCGAAGAGAATCTATTTTAATAGAAAAATTTGACAAAAGACTAAGAGAAAAATGAAAGAAACTTACAGGTTCTTGACTAACAACTCCAATATTTTGTCTAAATTGTTTGATTTTATAATCTGTTATTGATTGACCATCGATCATGATTCTGCCTGAGGAAGGTTCGTAGTAACGAAGAAGAAGTGACACACATGTACTTTTCCCTATCAATCAATTTCGATATTAAAATGTTATGTTTGTTTTAGAAAATAAGATTTACCACAACCACTTGAACCTACAAGAGCAGTTGTTTGATTCGCACGAGCAATGAATTTAAGATTATTCAAAGCTGTTGCATTTTCTCTTGATGGATAAGAAAAACTGACATTGTCAAATAGAATATCACCATTAATATTAGAAATCGATCTGTCATCAGATATGTTTTCTTGTAATATTTCTGTTTCATTGATATTTTCATCATGTGCCTATATCATAAAATAAATTAGAAAATATAATTATCAAAGTTTAGTCCCTAGTATATATATATATATATATAATGTATTTTACCTCATCGATAAGTCGAAATACGGATATTGCTGCACCTTGAGCTTCCGCAATTGATTGGAAAAAAGGACCAATTCCATTAAGAAAACCTAAAGCTTGTGCAAACATATTTACAACCTAAACAAAAGTTCTTTTTTCAGTTACTTTCTTATGCATATCGGTATTATAGCTGACTTACAACAAGAATATCACTAATGGTCAGTGTACGATGATTTCCATAAGACATAAGAATAGAACCAAAAGTGAAACCAATTGAATAAACTAGAAAGTTTACAAAAAATAACCAACCAAAAAAAGCACCAAATGCAGCATCTTTGCGAACAGTACACCATTCGTTTAATTTTAGTTCTTTTTCATATCTAGATAGAATAAACTGTAAATCTTCGTTTATTTATTTATTTATTTATTTA